CCATGTCACCTCCAGTCTCGAGCCTGAAGTAAGCCAGCAGAACTTTACCAGGGCCAAAGGGGATCATGAACCTCGGATTCAAAGCAAATCTTGGTCTTGTTGGTCCCTGGCCTGTCTAAGCGAGCATTCCAGTGCCACATGTCCAACTGGTACCGAAGTGTTTTCATCCAACAGCACACTCATGTTCTGCCAACGACGTGGGTAAACATCTGACCCAACATTTAGAAGGATGAAGAACCCACCAGGCTACTCTGATCAGAACTGGTTCAAATCCCACGCACGTGGATTGGCCAACTCACTTCACCTCCGCCAAAACAAAACCATCGAATTTGGTCAAACCAAATCTGTTTCGGTCAAACCAACAAAGTCATCTGTCGTTCACCCGATCATGTCACACACCCGGAGCGACCGAGGGGTCGTTCTGCCCGAGCGACGGAGGGGTCGGAAGGCCTCCGACATCCACCAGCTCTGAACCTCGACGCGTCACGCGACGCGGATGGCGGTGGCGAGTGGAGCCATGGCGGTGAGTCCAGTCTTTTCAAACTCTTTAGCAGGTAGAGATATCTACTCAGAGGTATAATCAATTCATCTTAATTCAATTACACACCTATATACTTTGCTTATAAATGTGGCACAGACTTGGAACTTATGTGCAGGAACATATACTCCAACTCTATCTAGTTACTTATATAGAGTTATATACGTCGATGAGGGGTCAACAAACAGTAACACTGTCGAGGTTTCTCTTCATCTTTGGTTGGTTACCGAAGCCTTGCCCGTTCTTCACCGCTCAGATCGCCCGTTCACCTGCCTGTGGACACAACCAGGTTGTTTCTTTCCTGGCAGGGCTGGCAGTCGGTTCGAAAACCGAAAGCTTCAAAGAACATCAAGAACCATAAAGCCAGAAAGGCTCATCCAATGTATATATATAATTATATATAGGTATGTAAGAAACCTGCAAACAACTTGTTGTTTTGATCTTTTTGAATGGGAAGCGGAAGTGTCCATAGCTCGATTTGAGCTGAATTCAGGTGAGAAAGCCTCCTCCTCCTCCCTGCAAGGAATGAGACTCATATGGAATAATCACAGTTTGGTTGGTGCTTTAGCCATCCCATCCTTAGAACATCGGTCACATGACACCATCGAGAAATGGTGGACACAGGCTCTGGCTCTGGCTCTGGACGCGGTTTACTAGACATCTCCTCGATTCAGCCGACCGAACATGTCGGGACTGCCAATCCATGACACTTCATTCCAGGCCCCATCTGCACGTGGTGTCAGGAACTCCCTGTAGCTCCGAGCGGCTACCCTGTAGTAAAGAAACATATATTTCAACTTTTTTAGCTCATTTGCTCCGTCCGAAGCACTAGCTAGTCTTTAAGGTTTCAGCGCCTTTGCTTCTTTCAGCTGCCTGCCTCTAGCAAGTGAAGCCCTATCCCATCCCGCGCTTGACGAAAGGCTGCCACTGCACGGCCGCCGCCTCAGGACCGAGTGAGGCCGACCACTGTTGACAAAGCTCCAAGGCGGAACAGGAAATCTCTCATGTTGCTAAGACAATCGGAGTCGAGGATTGAGTCGATCCAGATGTGAACTTAAAGCTGTCAGTATGTGCCACATGAACGGAAGACCTTTGATGCACAAGCAATGCAAACTGCTGATGAAGCATGACATTCAAGACTGATCATAGTACGGTCCGGTTACATGCCTACCCAATTAATTTGGCTGAAACTAGAAAACAATTACAGTAGAAACACAACAAATGTTAAGATATGTGAGGGCTTCTTGATAGTTATAGAAGGAGCAACAAGGACCTTGGACTGGAGATATTGTGTCTTCTTGCAACTTGTAAGCAATGGAAACTGCATGAAGAGGCACTCAAAATTCACATTCAAACATGATTCTGCCGTCTGCCGTCTCTGAGAATCTTCCTACTTCACACCTGCCGGTTTGTTTCCCAGTGGATTGGTTTGACAGGGCACCTTCGCCTGCTGCTATGGACCAAACCTGGCAGAATGTCACTGTTGCTGAGGCAAACATCTTATTGACACCAGAACTACTGACTACGGCCACCTGGTAGAATACCCTTGACACCGGTGCACGAACTTCCCTACTAAACATTACTAAAACACGTATTGGGAGTCTGACTACTGGCTATCGCAATGCATGTCAAGCGAGCCCCTTGAGAGCAAGCACTCTACACAATCTCCTATCTCCTCCTCTCTGCTCTTGAACAAGAGGAATACCTGGAACACTTCTCAGACTGGAACACTAGAACTGATGTCTTTACAGGAAACCCACCGCGTGGGGGGTTCGGATAAGATCCGTTCCCACAAGGTGTTGAAGAATTCCCGCCTGAGTGCCCAGTAAGGCTGCCTGAGCGGACAAGGGGTGTAAGCACGTAGTCTACCTGATGAAAAGGGGTGGCGGCACCGATAAAATGTATTGTTTCTACCAAGCAGGTCTGACAATCCACATGAACATCATGAACAAGAAGCTACTAGGGGCTCCTGGCCTTACTACTAGGAGCAAGGACGCAACAGTCTTAAAAAGAACTTGCATAGGTTGCCGGCTCTAGGACATCGACCTCGGAAAGTGAACCAAACGCACAGTCAAATCTACGCATTGGCACATCAGTGATCAAATCTATTTGTGCCCCCTGCAACATGGAATTGGCATGAACAACCTGATCGCCCTAGTCATCCTAGTGAGGGTATCCTCAACGGATTGCTGCTTGCTTTGAAGAAGCCTTAAATGGCTTCAATTAGAAGCGAATTAGCTAGCAGCTGACATGTATGTGTCTAAGCCCTTTGTTCCTTTTAGGCCGTCCCCTATCGGTTTCCAAGGAAAATCAATAAGCCCATAATTGAACGAAACCTCTGAGACAGTTCATCGATCATTCATTCATCGAAACCATCACTCGCCATACCGTACCTCGGTTAGGTGCCATTCCTCGAAATGGTTTCCTTAGCATGTTGGACCTCCCCGGAAGCTTAGACTCCTCGGCAGCCCGCGCGCTCCGACCGATGAACAGAGGCCTCTGAGCAGCTGAAGCTCAGCGGCAAGAAGCTACCGAAGCGGCACAGTAAGCTCTCCTCGTCCGTCGCTTCTTGTCCAAGCGTGTTCCTTTTCTTTTCGGATCCCTTCATCCCCCCAAACGGATGACGGCGCGTGACAGAAAAGGGGCAAGAGATTTGACGGATCTGAAAGCAACGGTTTGTATAGATGTGGGAACCTTCGATTGGCAATTCGATGCAACTCATGCAGCTGCTGGAGTTGGTGTCCAATTTGGAATGCCAAAGCCTCCCATCAATGTAAACGTGTATATCTATATATGTCACATTATATTACAGTATATACAGGCTCCACGCCAAAAATCCCAACGTCAAAAAGGCTTGGTTGCCTGTCACAGAGGAAACTGTGGTCCATGCAGTAACAAGGGACTATCTACAAGAGATCGATCTTTGTAGTTCATCAAATTTGGCACCAAATGGAAAATTATGCTTGTTCTAGATTGGAGGGCTCAAAAGTCAAGAAATGAGAACTGTTCTGAATGAAAAGGGCATGGAGAAAACTGCTTCCATGCTGAGCACAACATGACATCGGTTGGGTCCCAAGGCTGACTTCTGTGGCAATGAGGCCTGCAGGACGAACAAACATGACTCGCAACTCGCGACTCACATCCTGGTTTTACTACTTCACATACCACCAGTCACAGATCTGCCGATCCGTCCTCTGTGGATGCAAAGCCTAGACTGCAACGTGGAGTGCACGTCTGGCCGTTCTTGATGACCTGCCGACGAATTCGGGGTTTTGGGTCGTTGGAAAGGGTTTCTTGAAAAGGAAACATTAATCCCTCCACGAAACCATCCATCTCTCATGGCCCTGATGTCCGACCAAACAAGGAACCTCACAGACCACTACAAAGGGTCGTTTTCACCATGGTCCATGGTCCATAGCAGCAGCAGTGAAAGTGCATTTGAGGCCTACAAGAGTTCGGAAATATGCATGGCAATTGCAAGCTCAGGGCGAACGATCTTCTGGGGGTACAGTGACTTCTTCCGCCGGGAGAAGTCTGCCCCATCCTTGATGGTGCCAGGCCTCTCCCTGAGCACATGCAGGGCTCTCTGCATTGAGGATGCCATCTGCAGAGCAGCAGTTGACTTGCAAGCTAAAAAACATGGATGACAAAAAATGTAAGACATATCATAAAGAAAAGTGTCTTTCTTACATGTTTGCATGCTCCAAGCGTAGTCGCAGCCCAATGTAATGGCAAACAACTTGATGTTGCCAAGCGCTCGGCGATTGAACCTTTGTAGACTTAGATCTTTACAGCCCCAATATGTGCACATGCACAAAGCACCCCAAAAGAACAACACGCAACCATGTTTTCGAACGCGTTATGAAGCCGACTCCTCGCACTGTCCCCGAACACTCACTGTCAGGATCGCTCCGAATGGGCCGTCGTCTTAGGACTTGGTGGTGGACCGTCGTCGGTGCGGCAAGCGGGTATATAATATTATATAACTAATATATAATATATATATATTTTATAATAGTATATAATGTTATATCTTAATGCTACTACCAACCCTAGTACAAAGCTCTGCCAGTTCATGAGCTGAAATGGGCAACCGTCTGCCGCTCCCGTTGATCCTCCATTCATCCCACCGTCTGCCGATCTATTACTGTACGTCCAGTTCCAAGACATCAGGGACTCAATCTGGATGTCTTGGGACTCTATTTTGGTGGGTCCCTCGCGAAGAACTGCTCAAAGACATCCAGATCGTGTCAGTCTGGTCTCTTCGGCCGAATTTTGAGTGCTCAAAAGGAAGTGCGGACCCTCACCTTCGCAAGATTCGCGGATCCTCGCGAATTGGTTCAAGCGTTCGTTGGATTCTGGAACGAGGGAACTCCAGACATGTTGCACAGTTCAATCAAAACTTAGGTAAGACTCTTCTCAGTCATCGCGAAGACCAAATTGCGCGTGTGTTTTGCTCAGTCGCGAATCGATGGGAACCAATCGAAGCACCAACGGAGTCGTTGGGACGCGGTTTCAAAGGCGAAGATCCACGTGGGTTCACCCACCTGGTGCTCGGCAGTCTTGTGGTAAGCAAGAGAAAGAGGAAGGACTCAGCACCTTGGATGCGAGTGGGTTCAGCTGAACCCTAACCAGTGAGATGCTGCGTGTGAAATGATGTGAGATGCAAACTGGGACGAGTTCCCAGCTGACCTGCGGATGATGAAAAACAACCCAGGATCAAGTTCAAGGACCACACCTAATACAGTGGTTTCGATGGCACAATCTCCAAGGTCAAAAGACATCTTGGGGTGCCATCTATTCTGAAAACACTGTATTCCTCCAACCTTCCGGGTGCCAAAACGAGCCGAGTATCGCAGGCTTTTCCGATTGGATATCGAAAATTGCCGAGCGACGTGTGCGCCAGTCGCGGTGCCTTCTACCGCTGAATTTGTACAACGTGCAACACAAAACCGTCCTCTTCCACGTCTGCCTTGAGCCGGGGTCGGATGTTACCCGACACGTGCTTCGAGCTCTGTCCTTCCGGTTTTCAGGATGGATCCTCCAATTCATTGTTCACAACGAACCACAGGGCGTGATCAAAGTCAATTTGATTGGCCAAATCTGTCCTCTACTACCTGAGCTATACAAAAAATCATGGATATCCTTCATGTGAGGACTCTCCCACAGCACTGCTCGCAAATTCGTCCGGCCCGCCCGACGCAAAACGGCGTCTTTCGAAGAAGTTCACCACGCGCCAGGCTCGCCAGGGCAAGTGGAGGAACGACCGGAACATCTCCCGTGCTGCTGTCTGAAACAAGGAGAGCTTCTCGCCTGGGGGAAAGACATGACAGGCACATGGCACATGAACTGAGGATGTCCGCCTTCTATTGGGGAATTTATACATGGACCAATATGGGACCTCCGAAAAGAAACACATGTGAGAGTTGTTTCTGAATTCGTACAGAGAGTGGGGATGGAGCTAGGCAGCGTCTGTTCTAGTTCCCCACCTGCCAGGTGAGGGTTGTTAGATTTTATCACAGCTGTTCTTCCTCCGCCTCCGCCTCCGCCTCCGCCTCGGCCTCCGCCTCCGCCGCCTCCTCGTCCTCCTCCTTCCTCCTTCCTCCTTGCTTCCTTCCTCGCCAATCTGCTTCGCCGATCTTGTCTGGCCAGCTCCGGAGCGCAGTGTGCACCCCTGAACCTCAACCGCAAGGATCCCCTCGCAGTGTGCACCCCTGGACCTCAACCGCAAGGATCCGATCGCAGTGTGCATCCCTGGACCTCAACCGCAAGGATCCGATCGCAGTGCGCACGCCTGGACCTCAACCGCAAGGATCCGATCGCAGTGTGCACCGCTGGACCTCAACCGCAAGGATCCGATCGCAGTGTGCACCCCTGGACCTCAACCGCAAGGATCCGATCGCAGTGTGCACCGCTGGACCTCAACCGCGAGGATCCGATCGCAGTGTGCACCGCTGGACCTCAACCAGATAGTTTGCCAGATAAAATCCACAAACACACAACAAACACACAACCACAAACATACACACAACACACAACCACAAACACACACACAAACACACAACCACAACCACACAACCACAAACACACAACCACAAACACACAACCACAAACACACAACCACAAACACACAAACACACAACCACAAACACACAACCACAAACACAAACACATCCACAAACACAACCACAAACACACAACCACAACCACAAGTACAAACACACAATCACAAAGACACAACCACAACCACAACCACAACTACAAACACATAATCACAAAGACACAACCACAACTACAAACACATAATCACAACCACTACCACTACCACAAACACAACCACAAACACATCCACAAACACACAACCACAAACACAACTACAAACACACAATCACCAAGACACAGCCACAACCACAACTACAAACACACAATCACAAAGACACAACCGCAACCACAACCACAACTACAAACACACAATCACAACCACTACCACAACCACAAACACACAACCACAAACACACAACCACAAACACACCATCACAAACACACGACCACAAAC